ACGTTTCAGCCACTTGTTTCCTATTGGGAATTCATGCTGACTTCTGTAAGACTTCAAGAAATTTCCTGAATCTGTCTTCATTCATGCTTTTATAACACACAAAAAAGTGGAGAATAGATTAATTATAAAAAGTTTCCTATTTAAATGCACATTTTTACATCTAAAAGAGTTTGATTCATTGATGTTTATGTGCCCAGCAGTGGCACTTCCCAACAATGGTATAGAGTAATTTATATCTGAGACACTATTTCTTCAACTACACTTTTTGACAATGTTATATCTTCTTAAGTTTTCAGAAAACACAAGGGGAGGGTTAGGCTTTCTCATAACCAATTTTAGCTACAAAGTGTGAATACTAATTTTTCTAACTCCACAGGCCTTTGTCAGAATAAGCATTCAAAAGTAAAACTACATTAAGGAGCAGAAACAAGTAACAAGAAAAATGAGTATCACAAGAAGACAGGAAGATGCAGCAAATCAGAAACAGAAGAGGTGTCTTGGGATATGAGAAAGGCTACTGAGGATTACAACACTGAAAAATGGCCCTGTTGTCTGTGTTTTCATTGGCACCGTCTTGATGAGATCTTCCTCGAGCATTGTAGAAGGAAGGTTGCTGATGCTGATGACAGGAGTGAGATTTTCTCCAACAAAAGTACCATGTAGGAAGATACACATATGTATACTTAAAACAATATACTGCAAATTCAATACATTCCAGAGGACTTTTATTGTGTGGTCTGATTTTACACAAGGCATTTTGTGTGACCTGAAAGAAAAAAAGACCAAATTGTTTGTCCACGTTTCCATTGGCACAGATTATTTTACTCAAAAAATCCATTGCTAATCTGATGTCATGCAAATAAAGGCAAAATAAGAGACTGATATGCAAATTACCTATACAGTACATAGACTACTCATTTTTTCCCCCCGGAAGACCAGGAAATCCAACTTCACTGCACAGAGACAATTTGCAAAAGCGAATTTCACAGCAAAATCAGTGGGTGACATTTTGTTTCTGAAAAAATATGTTGATGACAGTATTAACCTGTGTAAATCTCCATATTTAACAAAGCCAATATTTGTAATGCCTCATACCTAGTTGTTTAATTAAAAAAATGAAAAGACCCATAAAACATGGTTTCAAAATGTATAGGGCAATCTGTGATTAATACTGAATAGTATTAATTCTAAAACACAATTAAATTTAGTAGTTACTAATTGTTGTAGCAGTAAAATTAGTAGTTTAGTAGTTTTAGAAAGTTAAAGTTAGTATTTTAGTATAAAAATTAGTAGTCTAACCTAGGTACTACACATCATGATGGCAGAAAACTGGGTAATCTAGAAGATTTGTGCCAGACACCTTTTTTTCATGATTACATGACTGTCAGAAAACAAATTTATTGATATTTTCACATGAAGGCTAGGTTTCGATGTGGAAATGGGATTGAACTGTCTGTTTTTACCACTCATCTCTAAACTGAGTTTTTTTGCCAAAAACCTCATTCTCTTAAATGTTTCTACCAAAC